GCCAGGCACCGCGTGAGTGGCACGACACACTGAGGACTACGCTTGCGGCTCTTGGGTTTGCTCCTTCTACTGCAGACCCGTCGCTGTTTCTTCGCACCGACACTTCCCTGCCGCCGTTCTACATCCTCGTGTACGTCGACGACTTGGTCTTTGCCACAGCGGACACTGCTGGACTCGCCTACGTGAAGTCCGAGCTGCTGAAGAGACACACGTGCACAGACCTGGGTGAACTGCGCAGCTACCTTGGCTTGCAGATCACTCGGGACAGAGCACGCCGCACCATTACCTTGACTCAGTCACACATGGTGCAGCAGGTCCTTCAGTGCTTCGGCTTTACGTACTCCTCGCCTCAGGCCACTCCTCTGCCTACTCGCCACTCACTCTCAGCTCTGCCTTCGGATGAGTCCGTAGAGTCGAGTGGTCCGTATGCAGAGCTTGTTGGCTGCCTCATGTACCTGATGACCTGCACACGACCTGACCTTGCATACCCTCTGAGCATTCTTGCACGCTATGTTGCTCCTGGGAGACACAGACCGGAGCACATGGCTGCAGCGAAGAGGGTATTGCGCTACCTGTGCAGTACGTCGGGCATGGGGCTAGTGCTTGGAGGGCGGAGTCCAGTGGTCCTTACCGGCCACGCGGACGCTTCTTGGGCTGACGACCAGGCTACGCAGCGGTCGTCACAGGGTTACACCTTCAGCCTTGGTTCCGGCTCTGTCTCGTGGCGGTCTACTCGCTCGTCTTCGGTTCTCGGCTCCAGTTGTGAGGCTGAGATCTACGCCGGGGCCATGGCTGCACAGGAGCTTCGCTGGCTCACCTACCTGCTGACTGACCTTGGAGAGCCGCCTCGTTCTCCTCCAGTGCTGTACGTAGACAACAAGGCCATGCTGGCCTTGTGTCGAGAGCAGCGCTTGGAGCACAGAACGAAGCACATTGCTCTCCGCTACTTCCTTGCTCGTGAGCTGCAGCAGCGTGGTCAGTTGCGACTTGCGTACGTGGCCTCTGAGGCCAACACTGCTGATGTGTTCACCAAGGCACTCGCGCCTTGTGACCATCAGCGCTTTTGCACCCAGCTGGGTCTTGTGCCTGTCTTGCCTCACTTGCTCTCCTCTTGACTTCACTTGTACTGTGACATATATATATGCCTGCTCTTGTTTGTCTAGTTTTATATATATGTCTGTACTCCTGCATGTGAACTGGCCACTGGCCCTACTCTTGCGCTCGGACTGTGTGGTGACTTTGTGATCCACCCTGAGCTTGCTTTGTTTTGCTTGACTGGTCTTGTGACCCCTTGTTCTCCCCCACTTTGCCTATGGGGGTGTGTCAGATTTATATGACATAGTTGCTGTAGGCTATAGTGGGGTAGCACATATGGGGTACAGGGTTTCTAGGGTTGTATTTGTACCCAATCTTTCCTTAGTCATTTCATTCCTGCTAACTCATTTCACAATTGTAACTACTTTACTGTTGCGGTTCGATACAGTGCGACTCGGGAAACTGCTCAATGTCGAGTAAGTTGTGTGTCCTTGCTGTCGCGCTGCTTTTGTCAAGTCAAAGGTCGTTGACCTTTGACTTTCTCGTAACCTCCAGCGGTTACATCAACTCCGAGGTACTGGAGCTGCTAGTAGTGGAGGTACTGCCGGTGCTGGAGGTACTGGAGATGCTGGTGCTGGAGGTACTACTGTTACTGGAGGTTCTAGGGGTGCTGGAGCTGCTGGCACTGGAGGTGCTGGTGCTACTGGTGCTGGAGGTGCGGGAGCTGCTGACCCTGGAGGTGCTGGTGCTGCTGGTGCTGGAGGCGTTGGAGCTGGAGGTACTGGAGGTGCTGGAGTTACTGGTCCCGGAGGTGCTCGTATTGGAGGTGCTGGAGCTGCCGGAGCATGTGGTGCTGCTGGTGCTGGAGGTACTGGAGGTGCTATTGGAGCTGCTGGCACGGGACGTACTGGAGGTACTACTGGTGTTGGAGGCGCTGGAGCTGGAGCTGGAGGCACTGGAGGTGCTGGAGGTACTACTGGTGCTCGAGGTGCTGGCGCTGTCGGAGCTCGTGGTGCTGGAGGTGCTGGTGCTACTGGTGCTGGAGGTGTTGCTGGGGGTACTAGAGGATCTGCTCGTGCAGGAGGTACGAGAGCTGCTGGTGCTCTTCGCCACCTTCTCAGTCTTCCGCCCGGTGCTACTGACTTCCCTGTGGCAGGTACTACTCCCCCGTTGCTGTTTCCACCAGCACACCAGTCACAGCCGCCGCTGCTACCACACTCCCTACTGCCTGCTCCTGCTCCTTACACTGCGGTGACACACTCACTGACTAAGCATCGAGAGGCTGAGACTCGTGCTTCCACCCCTGAGCGTCAAGAACCTGAGTCTAGCTTTCACCTCGAGCCTGAGCCTAGCGCTGCTGTCCGTGCTCGTGTTCCTCGTGTTCGTCGTTAGCGTGCTCCGGCTGTCCCAGGCACTCAAGATATGACACTCTGTCCTTCCTCTGTTCCACAGCGTGTTGTCCTACCGTTACCTCCTACGTCCTCTCTTCCTGACGTTGCTGACCCTCCATCTGACCTTTCTCGTGCGTCCAGTCTGACTGTTACTCGCTTCCTTGCTATGGTTGTGACAGACCCTACGTTCTCGTCTCCTGCTGCGTCTGCCTTAGTCGCTGAGCTCATTGACTTTGCTGCTGTGTACCGCCTAGACTACCTTGCGAGTCTTGTCTTTGACCCTGACCCTGCCTGTCCTCCATCCGTCGAGGGTGAGACTGCCCTTGGCTGTACTACCCCTGTTTGTGATGTTATTGAGGACAGACAGGAGGAGCTGGAGTGCCTTGCGGCCGCTTCACCCCATCACGCGACCATGCTGCTTGCCCCTGAGGGAGACCCGGATGCACTTGACATCCCCACCCTGCGCTCCTACAGGGAGGCGATTTTGGGTGAGTACTCCTCTCAGTGGGAGACATCCATGGACGCAAAGATGGCTTCCTAGAAGTCCACAGGTACCTACGTCGACGAGGTTCCCTCACCTGGGGCGAACATCGTCAGTGGCATGTGGATTTTCAGGGTGAAGCGGCCGCCGGGTTCTCCGCTTGCCTTGAAGGCACGTTACGTTGCTCGAGGCTTCAGTCAGCGTGAGGGGGTCGACTTCTTTCAGACCTTCTCCCCCACCCCGAAGATGACCACTCTTCGGGTGTTGCTACACGTTGCAGCTCAGCGTGACTACGAGCTGCACTCCCTCGACTTCTCGACAGCTTTCTTGCAGGGTACCTTCACGAGGCCATCTAGTTGCGCCGTCCACAGGGCTTCACTGGGTCGTTTCCTGAGGGTACCCAGTAGAGCCTACGGCGACCAGTGTACGGCCTGCGTCAGGCGCCTCGCAAGTGGCACGACACACTGAGGACGACACTCGCGGCTCTTGGGTTGGCTCCTTCGACTGCTGACCCGTCGCTGTTTCCACGCACCGACACTACTCTGCCGCCGTTCTACATCCTCATGTACGTCGACGACTTGGTTTTTGCTACTACTAACACTGAGGCACTAGCCCTAGTGAAGGCGGAGCTGCAGGAGAGACACACCTGCACCGACCTGGGTAAGCTGCGGAGCTATCTTGGCTTGTAGATCATCCGGGACAGAGCACGGCGCACCATCACCCTGACACAGTCACACATGGTGCACTAGGTCCTTCAGCGCTTCCGCTTCACGTACTCTTCGTCACAGCCCACTCCTCTGACTACCGGCCACTTGCTCTCAGCTCCACCTTCGGACGAGTCCGTAGAGCCGAGTGGTCCGTACCCAAAGCTTGTGGGTTGCCTCATGTACCTGATGACGTGCACACGACCTGACCTCGCGTACCCTCTCAGCCTCTTGGCTCGCTACGTGGCACCTGGTTGACACCGAAACGTGCACTTTGATGCTGCGAAGAGGGTACTGCGTTACTTGTGCAGCACATCGGGCATGGGGCTCGTGCTTGGAGGACGGGGTTCAGTGGTCCTCACAGGACACTCAAACGCTTCTTGGGCCGACAACCAGGCGACTCAGCATTCGTCACAGGGCTAAACCTTCAGTCTTGGCGCTGGTTGTGTCTCGTGGAGGTCCACTCGTTCTTCTTCTGTGCTTGGTTCCAGCTGTGAGGCCGAGATCTACGCTGGGGCCATGGCTGCACAGGAGCTCCGCTGGCTGACCTACTTGCTGACCGACTTGGGGGAGCGGCCTCGTTCTCCTCCAGTTCTGTACGTCGACAACAAGGCAATGCTTGCCTTGTGTCGCGAGCAGGGACTGGAGCACCGAACGAAGCATATTGCCCTTCGCTACTTCCTTGCGCGTGAGCTGCAGTAGTATGGTCAGTCGCGCCTTGCTTTCGTGGCCTCTCGGGCCAACACTGCTGATGTCTTCACCAAGGCCCTTGGGGCTGGAGATCATCAGCGTTTCTGCACTGCTCTTGGGCTTGTGTCCACTCTGTCTCACCTGCTGGTTGCTTGACTTGCTCTTGTTGTACACTGATATATATCTTTATACCTGCTCGTTTACTTTTGCTAGGTTGTGATCAGTGTACTGCCTTGCTATTATAACTCTGCATGTGAACTGGTCTTGTGGCCGCCTGCTTGTGCTCAGATTGTGTGGTGTTCTTGAAACCACCCTGAGCTTTGCTTGTTCTCTTACTTAACTGGTTTTGTGACCGTCTGTTGTGTTTGCTATCTCCCATTCAGCCTATGGGGGTGTGTCAATCTGTATGTTTGTGTTATCTTTAAGCTATAGTGGGTTAGCCTACAAGGGGTACAACACTTTAGGGTTAGGTACTTGTACTCATGCATGCTACCTAGTCCATCATTCATGCCTGCTTATTCTAAAAGTAGCCATACGACGTTGCACACGAAACGGAACCAGATAAAACCTTTTGGAAACACGGTTCGTCGGAAAACACAGGGGATATGAAACCGTTCGATTACCGTTCGTCTACCTTCCGTTCGAATATAAACATAACCTCATACAAAAGAGAAATACATAACATCAGACAAAAGCGAAATGGTTACGCACCCTTGAAGCTTTTGTTGATTTGGGGGCTTTAAGATTTTGCTCCGAACCAGGTTTCCAAGCCTAGAAGGTTCGGGTACACTCAGCGATCTGAGTTCGCCTCGCACCCCTCGCTTCTCCCCAACTCAAACCCTTTCACCTCGCCAACCAATCACAGCCCAACTTTCAACTTCAACTGCAAAACACTCTAGACTCGAGACATAGCAAGTTTCTTAGCACCTCGCTTAAGTTTTTTTCTAGGAAATCAGTCTTTCTGCCTACGTTCCTCAGGTCCCACCTCTCGATCAGGCTAGGACCCTCGCCCCCGTCATTCACGACTGTCGCGACTTGCCTCCCAGCCCTCCCATCACGCCTGTCCTTCCCATAGCTCCCGTCGCGCCTATAGCTCCCGTCGCGCCCATAGCTCCCGTCGCGTCCATAGCTCCTTCGCGCCCATAGCTCCTTCGCGCCCATAGCTGTCGTCACGCCCATAGCTGTCGTCGCTTCCATCGTTCCCGTTGCTCCCGTCCCTCCCGTCCCTCCCGTCCCTCCCGTCCCTCCCTTCGCCCCCCTCGCTCTCTTTCATTCGGTCCCTCCCGTCCCTCTCCGCCTCTCGCCTCTCCCCTTTCCCTACACTGTTCTACCCTCCGCGCAATTCACCCCCTTCCCTCCGCGCAGTTCACCCCCTTCCCTTCGCGCAGTTCACCCCCTTCCCTCCGCGCAGTTCACCCCCTTCCCTCCGCGCAGTTCACCCCCTTCCCTCCGCGCAGTTCAACCCCTTCCCTCCGCGCAGTTCACCCCCTTCCCCCCGCGCAGTTTCCCCCCTTCCCTCCGCGCAGTTCCTCCCCTTCCCTCCGCGCAGTTCCCCCCTTCCCTCCGCGCAGTTCCAGCCCTTCCCTACGCGCAGCCCCTTCCCTAAGCGCAGTTTCCTCTCTTCCCTACGCGCATTTCCCCCCCTTCCCTACGTGCAGTTTCCAACCTTCCCTACTCACCGTTTTCCCCTCGTGGCCTGTTTCGCCTTCGCCCAGCCAAAATCCACGGAAACATCTATCGCTAAAGCTCGCTTACAACTTTTCAAGTCCAGTTTTTTGGAAAATCTGCCACTCTAGGCGTGGGCTATAATATCTGCCAGATGGCCTCTCAACCCCAAGTTAGGTATGCGCGTGTTCCTAATTCAGACTCCGACGCTGCTCTCAACTTCGCCGCCTCGAACGCATCCGCCGCTCCTCCGTCAACCGCGGGAAAAGCGCGATGCTCCAACGACGCAGATATCCGTTTCTCCGGTCCGGACATCCACAGGCGCGTTCCGAAGCGGTCGGTGCTTCTCGCGTTGTTCCTGCTGTTCCTTGGGTGCACGTCGCTAGCCGTTTTCTACCTCATGCAGACGGGGCAGGTCGAGGCTGGCGTGCAGCAGAAGTGGACGTGTCTCGCCATCGCCTTCCTCACGCTCATGCCCGGTGAGCCTTCCTCACGGTCATGCCCGGTGAGCCTTCCTCATGCTCATGCCCGGTGAGCCTTCCTCACGCTCATGCCCAGCGAGCCTTCCTCACGCTCATACCCGGTGAGTCTTCCTCACGCTCATGCCCGGCGAGCCTTCCTCACGCTCATGCCCGGTGAACCTTCCTCACGCTCATGCCCGGTGAACCTTCCTCACGCTCATGCCCGGTGAGCCTTCCTCATGCTCATGCCTGGTGAACCTTCCTCACGCTCATGTCCGGTGAGCCTTCCTCACGCTTATGCCCGGTGAGCCTTCCTCACGCTCATTCCCAGTGAGCCTTCCTCACGCTCATGCCCGGTGAGCCTTCCTCACGCTCATGCCCGGTGAGCCTTCCTCACGCTCATGCCCGGTGAGCCTTCCTCACGCTCATGCCCGGTGAGCCTTCCTCACGCTCATGCCTGGTGAGCCTAACAGCTGAGTCTAATGGTAGCTGCGTTCCTGCCCAGGGTGTGCCTGGGTGTGTGCACTCTTGCTGAGAGATGCGTATGGTTTGCCGGACTCCAGTTCACGTCTACATGTGTCTCGGGGCTGTTTCATGGAAGGGAGCACCGTGATTTCACCGTGAGCCACTTAGTTTCCCCATTCCCTCCTCTCCCTCGCGGCCTCACCTCTCCACCATCCTCACCTCTCCACCATCCTCACTCTGCCTCACCCACACCTCTCCACCACCACCACTCAGGAGAGGTAAGGTCGCGAGAGAGAGGAGGTGTTTGCTGAAACGTTCCTCAGTTTCATACGTCATTCTGTCATATACATATGTATGACAGAATATATATTTACATAGATATTTTTGTTTTCCAGCAGAACTGAGCCCTCACGGTGTCCATGCATGCAATCATTAGAGTTCTGATCTCAATACCCCCTGATCCACTTGCACTCCACCCCTTTCTCTCACTCCCCTCCCCATAGCATTTCATTGGGCTTTCACTCTGTCGACGCACTCTAAGTCATCCCCACTCTGCCCCATTCACATCTGAGCCGCTTTTGATAGTTCTCAAAGGCGACTCAAATCGTCAGCATTAGCTGAAGCATTTACATGCATGCATCACCTATGGGTGCATGCATCACCTCTGCCTGTCATGCATCACCTCTGGCTGTCACCTTTTCAGTGACAAACGGATGTTGTGTGCATGCCTGCCTGCCACTGCAGAGCTGTCTTCATAACCCAACTCTCTGTTTCTGTGACTGCTCCTCTGTGTTAAGAATATGTTTGTATGCTTTTATTATAAGTGCACTGTTCGAAGTGTGCTTACAGGGGCTCGCCACAGCGAGGGATTTGAACCTGGTGGCGAGTCAACGGGCCGCAACCGAACACAGCGGTTGCGACCCGCGTGGCAGCTCAAGAGTCGAATCGACAGCAGGAGTCATCGTCTACAGTACGCGAAACTGACCTGTGGGGCACGGCAGGATACCGCGCCCTTGCCGAAGCTGAAAAGTCTCGCCAGCGCGACTGTAACAAGGCAACCCAAGCGACGCAGCGCAACTGTTATACAGTTGCGCCTTGGTAACTGTTTGCCCTATGCGTTTGCTATATAACAGAATGTAATGCCTTGCTCATATTACACAATTCTCAAGCTTGTGTCTGGCCTACCCTCGGCCGCTGCTTTGGCACCACGTTACAAGCCAGGAGAGCTACCTCTGAGTGACCAATAGCCCCGCCGTAGGGACGTCGTTAATTCCTAGAGCTTCCGCTGCGCTCTAGCGACTTCTTATTTCCAACACTCTGCGCCCCTTACTCCGGCCTTCACCCAATAAGACTAGCATCATTCATTCCTCGTCCCTTTCTGCCCTTGGTTCCTTCCTTCTCCTTTGCCGTGCCAATATTGCAGGCTTTTACGAGAGCCGCATTGCATACTACTCGTGGAGACAAGCCCCGGGATACTCCTTCTCACAAATACCGCGCTACTAGTAGCTTCATCTGGATGAGCCTGCATGTTGGTCAGGGCCTCAGATTCGTTTTTAGCTTGGCTGATACGTCAGCCTTAGCAGGCTATGCTGGGCTGATCAATCAGAGTTGGTTAAAAAATAAAAACTGAAATTTTAGACAAGTCACAAAAAAAAAACGCTGACTAATCAGCCTCACTAAAAAACGCAGGCTGAACTGGATTGGTTCTATGTTTAGGGCACGCACATGGATGCAGGTTCGGGGTGGGTGAGATGGGGTGAGGTGGGTGTCCTTGTCGTGAGTGCGTGCGGTGCGTTGCTGTGCTGCACTGGTGGTGGGTGATTGGCGCATAAGGGATGTGACAACCAATCACATCAATTAAAGCGTTCTGTCGGTGACAACGAAGCACCGACGCGTCGGGGAAATTCGTTTTCCCCCGCGTCGGCGCTGTACATGGTGACTTGTGCGTGATTGACAAGTGGATGTACCTGGACAGCCGAAACTCACGGCTCTGGCACGAATCTGTAATAGCGTGAGAGTTCAGCCTACACTCTCGTTATAAATCAGCCAACACTTGTAAAAAAACGCTGGAAAATCAGCCAATACCGTCTCCCCCCGGATATACCCCCATGGGGGGCAATAATAAAACAGGTTTTTTCATGGGGGTGGGCTTATAATCGAGTAAATTTATAAGCGCCGGCGTTTATAAAATGACATATATATTTTTTTATATCTTTTAACACCAAACTGTAGGTCTCGTGCTTGCCTTTTCAATCGAGTCGAAGTTACATGGGATCGTCTGTGAAATTCTCGCGCGCGCTGGGAGATACAACCAATCTGACTCACATCCAGCTCCTGACAGGTCCTGCTGACTGGACCCGCATCCAGTGCAGGGTCCGAATGTGAAGGGAACCGAATCTGCAACATATCCGCCTGCTAAAGTAAAAATCGTTACAGCTTTTTGAACACATTTCAAATTTTAAAGTTTACGTGCGCTTATAATAAAACAAGTTTTTTCAAGGGGTGCGCTTATAATCGAGGAGGGGATATAAGCGCCATATGCCAATTAGAAGCGCCAGGCGCTTATCCTAGGGTGGCGCTTATATCCGGGGGGAGACGGTACATTAAAAAAAAACCTGAACAATCAGCCAACACTCATAAAAAAAAAACTGAATTATCAGCCAACACATCAGCCACAAGTCTGGGAAATCAGCGTCCAGACCCTAAATCAGCCTTTTTTCGCTGACTTCTGAGGCCCTGATGTTGGTGCTTTGAAGTTGAAGGCCTGCATGCCTGCCTGTTGTCCATTCTCTAGTTTAGGTTGGGTAGAATGTGCTTGTTCAGAGTCCTCAAAGGTTGTACATTGATCTGCACCACACATACGGTGACGGTATAGATTGTTATTGTTGGGCTGAACGCCCTAGGATCTTTAGTAGAGTTAAAGTCTGAGTAAATGATGTAGTAGCGGAAGCGTTTTAATAAAGTCCTTGAACCACCTTGCGCTAGTATGTGAGGGCAAAGTAAGTTGATTAAAACAAAGAGATACAAGAATATATATATGAGTACAGAGAATATGAAGAGACATAATTGTTGTCAGATTTATATGACATAGTTGCTGTAGGCTATAGTGGGGTAGCACATATGGGGTACAGGGTTTCTAGGGTTGTATTTGTACCCAATCTTTCCTTAGTCATTTCATTCCTGCTAACTCATTTCACATGGTATAGAGCGGGTTCCATGTGGAACTCTGCCTAGGGCCCACCGAAGCGCGCCCCGAGGCGCGCTCAACTTTTTTTTTTCCGCTATCGAGCGACCCTCCGTGTCGCCTCACTCCCACACGCGGCCCAGCCGCCCGCTAAGTCGCGGCCCCAGCCGCCCGCTACGATCGCGGCCCCAGCCGCCTCCTCGACGCGGCCCCCAGCCGCCTGCTCGACGCGGCCCCCCCCAGCCGCCTGCTCGACGCGGCCCTGCCGCCCGCTACGCCGCGGCCGCCGCCCACTAATCGCGGCCCCGGCCGCCTGCTACGACCGCGGCCCCAGCCGCCTGTTCGACCGCGGCCCCGCCGCCCGCTCCTGCCGCGGCCCCCCAGCCGCCTGCTCGACGCGGCCCCCCAGCCGCCTGCTCGACGCGGCCCTGCCGCCCGCTACGCCGCGGCCGCCGCCCACTACGATCGCGGCCCCGGCCGCTTGCTACGACCGCGGCCCCAGCCGCCCGTTCGACCGCGGCCCCACCGCCCGCTCCTGTCGCGGCCCCGGCTGCCTGCTTGCACGGCCCCGCCGCCTGCTACGACCTCGGCGCCAACCGCCTGTTCGACCGCGGCCCCGCCGCCTACTTCCGTAGCGGCCCCGGCCGTCTTCTCGCGCGGCCCCGCCGCCCACCTACTACCGGGAGCCTAGCCGCGCTGCAGCCGAGCCGCCCGGGAGTCGAGCCGCCCTGCACCCGAGCCGCCCTGTCGCCGAGCCGCCCGGGAGCCGAGCCGCCCTGCCCCCGAGCTGCCCTGCCGCCGAGCCGCCCGGGAGCCGAGCCGCCCTGCGCCCGAGCCGCCAGGTCGCTGAGCCGCCTTTCTGCATACTTACTCGACCTGCACTGCCTGGTGAGCACAGTCCCACTGCCACTGCGAGCTCTTTCCCTACTGCTTGCACTGTATCGCTGTCGTCGCCATGGCTACCCCTAGTGTCCTAGTTTTTGACGCTGAGGGTCGCGCCATTGATTTTGAGGTCTGGTTAGACGACCTGCAGCTGTTCTTACAGTGCGACAGGGCTGACGACCTTTCTCTCTTTGACCTCACCTCTGGCGCCTCTCCTGCTCCTGCTGCTGATGCTGATCCCGCTGTCCGCTCTAAGTGGGCCACCCGCGATGCTGCTTCACGTCTTGCTGTGCGTCGCCACCTCCCTACCTCTGAGCGTGCGCACTTTAGTCAGTACAAGAGTGCTCAGACCTTGTACGACGCTGTAGTTGCGCGCTACTCCTCCCCTGCCACTGCTGCACTGAGCCGTTTCATGCTTCCCTACCTCTTTCCTGACCTCTCTGCCTTTCCCACTGTCGCTGACCTCATTACGCACCTCCGCACTAGTGACACTCGCTACCGCGCCGCCCTTCCTGCTGAGTTCTGCGCTAAGAACCCCCCCCCCATGTACATCGCTCTCTACTACGTAGTCGCGCGCCTCCCTGACTCCCTTCGCGTCGTCAGGGACCACTTTCTCGCAGTCTGTCCCACCACCCTCACCGTCGACCTCCTCGAGAAGGCCCTCCTTGCAGCGGAGAAGAGCATAGTTGCTGTAGGTGCTTCTCGTGGTGACCCTCGCACCCCCATCTTTGAGGGGTGCTCTCCTTCCCCCTTGCTGCCCTCTGTTGCCTCTGCTGCTGCTGCCGACCTGCTTGGTCTTGAGCCGGTCGGCGCGGCGTCTGCCCCTAGTGGGAGACGTCGCTCCAGCAAGGGCAAGGGGGGCAAGGGCGCGGGTGGAGCTGGAGGGGGCGGTGGCGGTGGCGGCGGTGGCGGCGGAGGAAGTGGGGGTGGCGGCGGGACTAGTGGTGGTGGTGGTGGTGGTGGTGGCAGCAGCGGCGGAGACGGTGGTGGTGGTGCCAGCGGTGGTGGTGGAGGCAGCGGCGGCGGTGGAGGCGGCGGAGGTGGAGGCGGTGGAGGCGGCAGCGGAGGAGGCAGTGGTGGTGGAGGAGGTGGAGCTGGTCGAGGTGGTACCCAGCAGCGTAGCGGCGGTGGTGGTGGCCAGCGCTCGCACCGGCAGCAGCAGCAGCGCTCGCGGGACATCCCTTCGCCTCAGCAGCTTCGTGAGTGGTACGCTGGGCGTCAGAGGGGTGGGGGTACTGGTCCCTGCACCTACGTTCTTCGTTCCGGCGACCGCGCGGGTGAGCAGTGTGGGGGTGCCCACGCCACCCAGCACTGCTTTGGCCGCCTGACGGACGCCTGGCGTCAGCAGTTCCCTGGGGCTAGTGAGATCCCTCGCTGGGATGAGCTTCTCAGGGCTGGTGTAGCGATCTTTGATCTGGATTTTGATGCTATCCTTACTGCTATGTATGTTGTGGATTATAGTGAGGAGAATGAG